AAAGAAAGTGTCCAATAAATGGGGGGAAGGATTGCAGTTTAAAGCTACCTTGTATGACAGCAACTCTGCCAGAATCTCTTTGACAAATAGACTCTCAATTTAATTTGAAAATCTGTGTTGTGTGGTGTATTGCTGTTAGCTAACAAAGGGGTTGTTTTGTTCATAGAGTGGATAATACTTGATGAATCCAACAAAAAGAGAAATAAATATTTTTGCCACCAACCGTATAAGGGTTTTGTTTATCCCAAATGAAAATTCTAATAGGTCTTGTTGCCACCAAGGTGGTTGTTTTCTCTTCCAAATATAAGATGAAGATCTTTCTGAAAACTAAGTATGCCAAGTTGAGACCCAGAACTTGTTGTCATAATGTGAAATCACTGAGCTGATACTTCTTCAAGGTAGGCAGAAGTGGTACCTAAGGCGTATTTCAAAAGCAGCTGGGATGTCAAAGGCTATTAAGATGGAATCATTTCTTTAGATCCCCATGACCATTTCTGTTGATTTTCTTCTTTTTCTCAGTTTACCCTTTGCTGAGAGTGATCTGAGCCTCTATAAAAGTCAGATGAGTCTGTCAGAGTGGAGATGCCTCCATGCTCTGGAGGACTTGGCATCATTATCTCTGGCCATTGACTCAGGCCTGCTCCCCAGCCCCCGCCTCTCATAGGTTCAGGGCACCCCACCTTCCTTCCTTCTTACATCTACACACACTCAACCTTGCCGGGTTCACCCCCTTCCCCACTGTGCAGCCAGAGTTGTTTCCTAAAACTCAAATCTGATCACAGGGACTCCTGCTCAAAACCCTACTGCTCCTGGGGACTACGTCCAAATGGCCTAACACAGTGTTCCAGCCCCATCCTCCCCTGACCCCTGCTGTCATCCAGCCTCTTCTCCCACTATCTCCCTACAGGCTCCTGTGCAGCATCCAGTCAGAACTATTTTAGTTTCCCAAACTTATCACTCACTCCTGTATTCATTCAACAAATATTTATGGAGTGCTTAACACATGTCAGGTGCTGGGAATACAGAAGATAAACAAAAACAAAAAAAAATCCAAGCTTCCTCCTAGGGAAACAGAAAATAAACAACAATAAAACAGAGAAGGATGATATCGAGTGTCCCCCTTACTCTTCCTTCTACCTAGTTTAATCAAATGTATCATCGTATAGTATACTACTGTAGTGTGTATTTTGCTCGGGTATAATGTATAATACAGTACATTGCCTAGTACTCCCTGACTCCTAACGCATTCATCTTTTTGGTCGCAACTTGCCGGTATCTTCCTCTTGAAGCCTCTTTTTTCTCTAAAATCGCACCTTACATTTGTCTCCTTTATGATTTCACAATCCTCTATTCCTTCCCTTATCACAGAACTTATCAGTCTAAACACCATTGCCTGCAGTGAATATTTAAAAACAACTTTTGCAAATTCTTATGTCCTTACTAAGAGCACACCATGCAGAATTCGTGGAAGTGACTTTAAAATTCATTATAATGATGTCTTTTGCATCTCGGAATTGACAAATGCTACCAGATACAGGTTACTTCTGGAGTCATTTACCCGGTCTGGGTTGTCTGAATGATTAGGGGAAAAGAGCCAATTGCTTTCATATTTAAAATTCTCTTTGACATTGCCCTAAGTATGAGGATTTCACAACAGAAAATCCCAAATCTGACTTTTACCAGATATTGACCAAAAATTCAAATAGGACTCTTTTTCTTTTAATGTTTCTTTGAACTTTTGCAGCTATGAAACTTTGGGGTTTGGGAAACTAATTACTCAGTATCCATTCAACAAATATTTACTTATTCAGGTGGCACTGTGCCACAGACTGTGGCACAAAGATGAATAGGTATGCCCTGCTCTCAATAGCAGTCATGGATGGCAGCCATTTTCAAATAGGGCATGTGTGTCCATGGGGACACATGAAGACTTTCCAACAGGTACACAGGCCTGAATAGTATCAACAGAATCCATTTTCAAGCCCTTCAACTGACCTGCCTGGAATGTGCTTACAGAACAGCAACCTCAATTCTGCCTTTTCTCACCTATCACCATCACCCTGTTCCTACTTTACAGAAGAAAGACATCCCTCTTACCCCTTACAAATCATACTGCAGGTTGTCCCTGCTACAAAAACTCCAAAGAAATCACTAGAAATATTGAAATTCTTCTATAATTGAGATAACCTAACATCCCTATCCATCTCATAAATTTTTAACATTACCAATTCATTTTTATTCTTAAGCACAGTTATTTTTTCCAAATTTCCTTATGTATATGCTTTGGTCAATTAGTTACAGATAATAATTACATGATAAATTCAAGCTCAAAAAATATTTAATGCTTAGAGCCTGATGTTAGGAAAATCCCTTGCATTAAAATTTCAGTCAGACAGGAGGACTGCGAGTTCAAAGCCAGCCTCAGCAATTTAACAAGGCCAAAAGCAACTCAGTAGAGACCCTGTCTCTAAATAAAATACAAAATAGGGCTAGAGATATGACTCAGTGGTTGAGTGCCCCTGAGTTCAATCACTGGTACCCCCCCCCCAAAAAAAAAAATTCAATTTAAATACTTATTTCCATTGCAGAAAAATATGACAGGGAAAAAATAAAAGATTTTCACACATCAAAAATATTTCATTAAAATAGAATAATTAAATTAGAATTAATTCATTAAATTAGAATAATTTTCTATGGGGAAATGGAATGAAAATATAATTTCTAGGGTCAGGTTGTAGCTCAGTAGTAGTGCATGTGCCTAGTAAGTGCAAGGCCCTAAGTTCAATCACTAGCACCAAAAGAAAAGAAAATGTAAATTCTACAGAATTGACTTAAAATTCTTTAAAAATTGATTTAAAAATAGATTACTTTGTGTTTCTTCCAAGGAGAGAGAAATTGGCATTAAATGCTATTGGTATTTAAGTTTCTCTTAAATATATAGTATATATCTTGATGACTTTCAATTTTAGATATTCTGAAAAGTGTGTAGGAAACCACATCTCATTGCAGGCATTCATCAGCTTATACATTTCTGGCTTCTGGAATCCTAGATGTTGGAGCACAGAGGAGATTCTTGGGGACAACAAGGTCCTGTGCAGAGCTTAAGTCTCAAGTCTGTCTGACCTGGGTTAAAGCCACTCTCTAGTCCCTCCTGAGCAGTGTGGCCCCTTTGGGAAATCAAAATTTTTATCATCTATGTAAACAACAGCAGAGGGTTTTTGTTTTCTTACTCTCTGGAAGTCACTGCCCAAGACACTCTTTTTTGTATAAAAACTCTTCCACAAAATAATGTATTTACAGTCACAAACTCGGCTGTCTTTTATTCTATCTCAGGTTCCAAGCCTATTCAATTTCCTTCCATTTTCTTGGTGCTCTTCTCCAAATTTGGTCTCACCAGCAAATTTCCCAAGGATCTTTGTACTCTGCCTCCAGGAAGAATATTAATGAAGATGTTAAGTCAGGCTGGCATAATAAAATTGCATAGAGAATCCTCCAGACAGTTTTGTTCCACCCAACAGACATAGTATCATTTATCATTAGGTCCTGTTACAGTTTTCTGACCCCTTGAAAAACTCACATGAGGTCACTTGTGTCCACATCTACTTGAATTAGTCTTGCAAGTGAACTCATGAGCTACTGAATTAAATGTCACTGCAGGATTGAACGTCTGTTACATCACACTAATCTATCACACTCTGTGCCCATAAATCTTTACAATCAAAACAAATTAGTCTAGCATGCTATTTCTAACAAACTTTCTCTTTTGTTGTGTATGGCTCATGCCCAAAAGGAGATAATAGACCAATGGATGAAAGTAATAAAATTTCATCACTGGTTCAAACATGGTCAAGTGGTGAGCAAAGAATAATGACTCTTTAGCAATGAAAGAAATGAATAGCAATTTAACACAGATGGGGATGTAGCTCAATGGTAGGCCCTGGGTTTGATCCCCAACACTTAAAAAGAGAGAGAGAGAGAGAGAGAGAGAGAGAGAGAGAGAGAGAGAGAGAGAACAGACTATATAGAGGGTAGGTATACCCCTCTTGAAACAAGACAGAAAATTAATAAACAATTAAGGAAATAAAGCAAACGATTGCCTGGGATTGAGAAGGGTTCTATCCTGTGTGCGTGAAGTCAGCAGAAGTCCATAGTGTTTGATAATTAGAACAAAGCATAATGGGTTGTAAGATTCCATCATTATTCAAATGGTTAATCAAATGTTCAGGTGACAAGCATATTTATTTTAAAAAATAAGGTCAAAGGAAATATTGAACACAGTAGAGACTCCCACAAAGTAAGAAATATTAAGACATTTGAACAAGAGAGCAATTGTGGACTCCAACCCTGGAATCTACATTTGGGCTAAAGGCCAGTATTCTGGTCATGAAGGTTATTGTCAGAGCTGTCTTCGTGACAGTGGTTCTCAAACTTTAGTATACGTAAGAACTAATCCACCACTGCTGAGTCAAAACACTATTGACTGGGACTCTTAATGTGTCACCAGTTGCCCTGATGGTTCAGACTCAGCAGGTTGTTATCAATGTGTGAGTCAATGGTCAGGGCAGGGGATTAAACCAGCAGCTGGGAGACCTGCCTCTGATCAGTTGGTAGAATAAACTTGGATTATGTTCTGACTGTAGAGCCTCTGGTTTCCATTGTTCCCTGTTTTGAACTGCTTCACTTTCTCTCTTCTGCAGTTGGTGTTGCTTGGCAGAGCTCTTGAAAGCAGGGCAGAGATAAAAGTGAATGAGGCCAGGAATTGAGCCTCATTCAGCCCTGCAGTGGAGGGTCCCCAGGCCCTGCCACTTTCCCACCGTCATCTAGCCTGGGACAGGCCTTGTGGTGGATATCCTTTGCGCCTCTTTTCTGGTCTGCCTCTGTGTGGTATCAGACACCAACTGGCTGGAGGGAAGATGCTAGCCTCCGGGCAGCTGTGTTTAGGTGAAAGATCAGTATCTGGTTTCTCCCTCATTTATAGCTTTTGTTTTCTTTCTTTCTAGAATATGTCTGTGCTGGAGAATCACCACTGGCGATCTACAATTGGCATGCTTCGAGAATCAAGGCTTCTTGCTCACTTGCCAAAGGAAATGACGTAAGTGCTCTGAGATGAAACAGACTGATGTGCACAAGTAAAGATAAGGTGTTCTCTAGGGCGTGCTTGGGACCCCCTGCGTGAGTGGCTGGGAGCCAGCCGCTGTGCTTCCTGCCTGCCCTTGCTTGTCTATCTGAGCAGATTTGGTGTCAGTTACTGCAACCCAGAAACCAGAATCTCCCTGGGTGCTTTGAAAGGGCTTTGGATGGTCTCTGACCCAAAGTCAGGAAAAAGGATAATAAACAACTTTCGGCTTTCACACTTTTCAGCATCAATGCTCTGCTTTGCCAAATTCCTGTCCTTTATGTTAGTAAAATTGTCCTCCCATTTAGAATCAAAGAATAAATATTTGTCAAGAAGGAACATAGAAATTCTCTGGCTAGATTTAGGACTGGTTGACTAAAGTGTGTTTTGTAATTGCCAGTCTTAGCAGAAATAGTAATTAGAAATTCTTTTCTAAAATGTCTTTTGTTAAATAATTGAATTGGGCCCAGCAATTTTGTCACGATTAATTTGTCTAATGAATCTTGCATTTTAAACAGAAGAGGAAACTCTAGTTTCCTGGTCTACTGTTCATTAGACCCAGTATGTAGGCCGGATCGTACCAAGTCCAAGGCCACTGCTTCATTTTCCTCAGGGACCCAAACTAGCAGCTATCCTGTGTTCCAAGGCCATCACTAATTCTGATCTATTTAATGAAAATATGCAGAACCTGAGGAAATTAGGTGAGTGGCAAAAATAGATCACTGTACCCTTCTTAATGACAAGCACATAACTTAGGGTCAAGGACCAAGTGGCATTTCCCCATAGGACTAGCAGCCTGCTATGCGTTGGAGGTTTATTCCTGGCCCTCTGATACTATCTCATGCTGTTTCCTCTAACCCAGAGGAATGTGGAGCTTACAGTAGGAACTTTGGCCTTGATGACTTTTTACCCCCTGGAACTAAATAAAACCAGTCCTCGTACATGGTATAAAAACATGTGCCTTTTACTAGAATAATAAATCGTAAATACAAAGAACTAAATTCCAAAAGAACTAAAAATTTGAGCAAGAAATCAAACAAGAAAAAGAAAAGGAGGAAAGATGGAGATGAGTGGGAGGGACAAGTAAAGAAAAAAAAAGGAGAAAAGTGAAGATAGAAAAGAAAGAAAGGGAAAAGTAAGAGAGGGAAGGATGCAGGGTGACCAGCCTTGTCCCCAGTAATGTCCGCATTAATCCTGCTTGGTGCTCAATTAGTATTCATTTGCTGAGATACTCCTACTTATCTCTATGAAATCCAAATAAAAATACCATATTCATATGTCTTTGTGAGACACTTGTCATAAATGCTTTTGTTAGAAGAATAAATGCTATGCAATGATTTATGTGAAAAGAACTCAAAACAAAAGTCATCACCATAATCATTATTATTATTCCTATCCTCGTGCAAATCATTTTCTGATTTTTAAAAGCAAGACAGTAACCGTAGAAATTAAGGAAAGTTGAGAAAAGTATTGGTTTGAACCATATGAAGTGGCTGAAAGTCAAAAGCAGAATATTGGTGGTTTCATAAGGTTTAACCTGTTAAAAAGAAAATTGAAATGACTTATAATCCTGACATCTGGAAATCATTAATGTTATCCTGGCTAGTATATATCCCTTTACTCTTTTTTCAGTACAGCCATATTTTAAGAAAATGGGGGACTTATTTTAAAGTTTATGTCCTGATATTTTTCACTTATGATAAAGACATAATTAAGTCTGTTAAAGTAAAATCATTTTATTGGCTAATGGCCAAAATAGTGCCCAAAAGGCTGTAACTACAGATTAGTGTTTGAAATTTATATGGTTTTTAACTTTTTTGTATGAATATTCATCATGCATTCTTAAACAAATTATTTTCTCAGAAATATTTGTACATAGAAATTATTGGCCAGAAAGGTCTAAATTTTTAAGATTCTTGTTGCATATCACCAAATTGTTTTTTCAAAAAGCTATATCTACCAGTAATTCCATTAGTGAGTTATAAGAAAATCTATCAATGTGCCATCATAAAACTTCATATTTATCTTTATTATATTTTTATGTATTTGAAAATCTGATATACCCTTATGAGTATATATGATATATGGAGGGGGAATAAAGAGATGTAGAGAGACAGAGAGAAGGAGATTCATTTGATTTGCATAAATTAAAAAAAAATTGTTGTAATTGCACACAATACCTTTATTTTATTTCTTTATTTTTATGTGGTACTGAGTATCAGACCTAGTGCCTCACACACGCTAGGCAAGTGCTCCACCACTGAGCTACAACTGCAATCTCCAGCATAAATCTTTTAGCTAAAATGACATTGACATTTTTCAAGTATTTACTGGCCATTGCTATTTATTTAGAGAACAAATTTTTGTATTTGGTCTTTTTCTATTTTCCCATAAGTATTATTCATTTGTAAGAACTCTTCGTATATTAACTACAGTAGTCATTTGTTATATGTTGTAAATATTGCTTGAAGGTTTTAGATTGTCTTTAAATTTGATTCATAAAACATTTCACGTAACTAAAATAGTTATATTTTACAACTGTAATACTCATATCTCAATTAATAAATACTCATATCTTAAAGAATTTATATAATTTAAAATATAATGAAGAAAATGAAAATAACTCCCACTATACATCTTTCTAGTTTCTTTGCTATGAACACAGAGATCACACCTAATACTATTTGTATCCTGCTTGTTAATATAAAAATAATACATGACATTTGTCCATATTAATAAATAAAGCTGTACATCATATACTTACTAATTGCATAGGATGAGTGTACCAGGGCTTATGTAGCTAATCTCCTATTTGATAATTTTTGTGATCTTTTCCTCCCTAAAATGTTTCATTATTAAAAACAATAAGTACCCTTATAACACCTGTCTTTACTGATCACAGTCTCACCAACACATTAATATAAATTTGTAGATGAACTGCTGGTTAAATTATTTCTACCATCAAATGCTTTTAACACTGATTCCTAAATTACCCTCCAGAATTATTGCACTAATTTACACTCTCACAACAGAGCCTGAGAGAGACCATTTTACCCACACCATCAACTGCACTAGGTATTGCAATCATTTGTTAATTTAGCAAATTATTTAGCAGTTATTTTCAACTCTTGCCAATAAAAATGGAAGGAATAGTATCACATAGCTATTTTGATTTGCTTTTTGTGATGCTAAGAATATAAACTATCACTTCCTATTTGGGGGCATTTTGTATTTCTTTTATGCACTGCCTGTTTTATATGATTATTCATATTGTTTGGAAATAGGTTAAAGCTGTATGTATAGCTTATTAGAAAACATGAATGAATGGTCTTTGAAAACATGAACAGTGGGATTATAAAGCTTATAAATTATACTGTAGGGAAATTTTTCATCAGAATTTAGAATGATTGGGGCTGGGGTTGTGGCTCAGCGGTAGAGCACTTGCCTAGCATGTGCAAGGCCATGAGTTTGATCCTCAGCACCACATAAAAATAAGTAAATAAAATAGATGCATTGTGCCCAACTACAACTAAATATAAATAAATATTTTTAAAAAGCATCGAGAATGATTTCTTAAATAAGAGAAAGAACTTAATCATAAATAAAAAGAAGTATAGACTAAGCTACTTTAAGACTTTTTTTTTCAATATAGCACATCTTAAAGCAGAAAGACAGGCTACAATATGAGAGAAGATATTTGCAGCAAATAATTTTCAAAGGCCCAATATTTAAAATATGTAAGAAATTCTTAGAATCAATAAGAAAAACCAAGACAAGCTAATTGAATAATAGATAAAGATCAGAATAGAAACTTCACAAAAGAGGAAATACAAATGTCCAGTAACTCATGAAAATATGTCCAGTCTCAGTAGTAATCAAGAAAATTTATATTAAAACTAAAGAGTTACTTGACATACTTATCAGATGGCAAAAAACATAAAGGATAATAATGTAGAATAAGGAGAATCTCATCTTTTACTGCTAGGAATGTAAATTTATAAAATCCTTTTGAAAATAATTGGCAATATCTAGGAATGGGGATGTGGCTCAGTGGTAGAGTGTTTGCCTTGATGCTTGAAGCCCTGAGTTTGATCCCCCGTACCACAAATAATAATAATAAGGCAATAGCTAGTAAATCAGAGCTAAATGTACCCTGTAATCCAGTCATTGAATTCCGGATATCTCCAGTTATATAAGTGCTAGAGAAACTTCTGCACATGTATAACTGGAGATATATAAGTATGTTTGCTGTGGTATTTTTCATAGCTGTCAAGCACTAGAAACAACTCAAATGACCATTAAAAGTAGAATAGATAAACACATTGTAGTTTATTCTTACAATGGAATATAATATAATGAACATGGATGAATTTCAAAAGCATCATTTTAAGCTAAAGAAGAAAGACATGAATTGATGCATATCATATAGCTGTAAGTTCAAAAGTGGTTAAAATCATATCATTTAGACATGCATGCACAGGTGGTAAATTATTATAATTAGTATAAAGTCATTAAAGCCAAGATCTAGAGGTGGTAACTCCAGGCATGGAGGGTTAATGTAATGGGAGAAATAACAAAGGGGATACTGGCAGTCATGTTCTTAGCCCGGGTGGTGATTATTACAAGATGTTCACTTTGTATTTATTCATTGAACTGTATATATATATATATATGCTCTATGCACTCCACTTAAAATATATTTCATTTTTAAGGGTGAATTTTAAAAATTGTTATGGATCCCTCTTTTTACCAATTACATTCTATGTGTGAAATAAAGCCCTAACTTGCCTATTTTTACAAAATATCCCATTTTTCCTATACCATTTGTTGGTAAACATATCCCTTGCCCACTGGTTTGTAACAATGTCTTAATCACCTTTTTCTTAAGTTCTGTTGTATCATTTTGGTCTGTTTTGTGCTGTCACTAGACTTCCCATCCCACAGTGCCAGCCACTGTTACCTTCTTCATTATTATTAATTTTATTTGCCGTTTTCTTCCTCCATGAAAATCTTAATGTTTGAACTAGTTAGAAGTCTCTAGAAGCACAATCCAAACTCCTGTGATTCTGCAAGTCTTTTTGTATCCTCCTTAAAACATGGATTTCTATCTGGCTTTCAATGCTCACCCCCGCAGGAACCCTTGGGGTTATATAAACTTCCACAATTTTGTTCACCTAAGTTTCAATCACTCTGTGCAGGTCTGGCATACCTCCTGTCCAAGGATGGGAGACCAGCTCTTAGGCTGTGAGGAACTGGGACCCTGTGTAATAAACAGAATCAAAGGCAGAAATGAGATTACAAGCCACCTGGTGATGAGGAAATCAATCACTCTCCTCAAAGGGATTTGCTCTCTGTGTGTGTTTTTCTCTTTCATTCTTGTGGATGCAGACAGGATATTGAACAGCAGCTGGGCTCCCTGATCTTGGCAACAGACATCAACAGGCAGAATGAATTTCTGACCCGATTGAAAACTCACCTCCACAATAAAGACTTAAGGCTGGAGGATGCTCACGACAGACACTTTATGCTTCAGGTAAACAATGGCAACAAAAGCCATTAGCCTTGCTCAACAAAAACCCTCAGGGGCATGATCAATAATTTTAACACATTTGAGAAGGGGTTGTCTCACATGGTACAAGTTTGAGTATTGACCTACTTTATTAAAAGTTTTGAGGCGCATGAAATTGTTAAGTGGTTTTCAAGCAAGCAAAATCTTGGTTTCGCATCAGTAAGTCGATACTATCTCACTTTTCCTTGTTCAGTAACTATTTCACCACAAACTAACCTCACTGGAAGGCTGCATGCATGCAGTGTCAAACACTTTTTTTTTTATTGAGGTTTTGGGGGTCAAACCCAGAAGGGCTTTGCTTGTGCTAGGCAAGTACCCTACCATTGAGCTACACCCCCAGCCCAAGTGTTTCCCTCTTTTTGTGGTTTGGTATAAATTTGACCAGTGTGATATCTGTGCAGTTTAAAAGACTGTTTCTATAACATGAAAGTATATTGTTCATTATAAGTCCATCAAAAATTAAAAAAAAAAAAAACAAGTAGCTTTTGTTTACCTAAAACCTAATTCAATAGGGTTTGCTTTACATCCTTCACTCCTATTGTAATCTGAGACTTACCATTTTTAGAGTCCAATAAATAGTTTATTTTAAGTTGAACTGAATTGAATTGAATTGGATCGGGCCCAGTCCCTTCTGCTTTATTCCATGGCAAGAAGTCACTTGCAATGTGAGAGCAAGGAGAAGAGTGGACCTCAGAAGTAGAAGTTTGACCTGGTGTCCAAATGAGAGCCTTCTTGATCTTTCATTTTCTCTTGGCTTCCTTTTTCTCTTTTAGCACAAAAGTCTGACTTACAGATGCTGGACTCATCTAGGTAGACCAGATTTAGCCAAGGAGCTGGAGACTTAACTGTTCTTTTTTGGTTTGGGGTTTTTTTTTTCAGGCCTCACACCCTGCTCCATAGCTATCCAAAGTGGTCCAGTCCTTCCAGGACATGCCCTACACCCAGCTTCAGAATGACCCTCCCTACTTTCTTTCTTTCCAAACTCATTTTCTGATACCTGAGTGTTCAAAGACGAACACTCAAACAAGGTGTTTGCTTGGAGTGACTCAGCCAAGTTGTGAGTGGTTGAAAGATTGGCCTGAGCATTTGCATATTTCAGAAGGAAGGCTTGCTGACTCAGATGAATTCCAGAAGGGCAGAACCTGCAGGGAACTTCTGTCCCTGACCTATTCCAGCATCTACTGGTGCCCTCACGAACCAGGAAATAAGTAACCAAACTTTCATCTTAATAAGATCTAAGGTTCTCCTAGACCCAAACATAGCTAGCTGTTTGTGATCCCAGGAATTTGGGTCAAAACTATAGACACTGCTGGTGGACAGGTCTCTTGGCATCAGTCTCTTAGCATTGGTGTTAGAATCTACATGGTAGGAATTCAAGGTAACCCTCCTAGGGTTTTCATCACATTGACCAAAGCACATCACATCCCTGATCCAGACCAAGGAGGCCCCGAGGTAGCTGTGCAAATGCATCACTCCTAGGTTTGATATGATTTAGTGCCCTGGTAGTAGTCTGAGCTTATATACACACACAGACACAGGCTCATAAATGCAAACACACATAACCTAAGTGATGTATAAAATGGGTCAGCATGAAAACGGGTGACACATGATCTCACTTGAGCCTGGTCAGGGTCCCTGCAGCCTCCCTGCCTGGAAGAGTGGGGCTATAGAAGGAAGGAACCAAGCCATGGCTATCCTTGGCTTGCCCACCCCAGGTCTCTTCCAGGAAGCTCCATGTCCTTGGACTGTGGCTCTTCTCTCCCTCTCACTGCTATAAAGCAGGAGTTCTAAATGAAGGGTTTTGTATAGTTATGAATAAATGCTATTTCCTGAAGCGGCATGTCAGGGAGGCCCTCTGTGAATTGGGGGCTAGTACCACTAGGCTGGCTGATGTGACAGCCCTTTGGCTTCAGGTCCACAGGCAATTAAAGGGTCATCCTCTGACAATCTCTCTCTGCCCTGTCCCTTCTCAGATCGCCTTGAAGTGTGCTGACATTTGCAATCCTTGTAGAATCTGGGAGATGAGCAAGCAGTGGAGTGAAAGGGTCTGTGAAGAATTCTACAGGCAAGGTTAGTAGAGATCCCACAGTGACTGCATTGCCCCTTCTCCTTTTAGGCATCTCTCCTGATAAAACAGGAAATGGCTAATCTATTGTGACATTTGTTCTTCAAATTCCTATTATCCTAACCTTTCTCTTTAGCTCTCTTGCAAACCATCCAAATCTTCTGTGGAAAAAAAAATTAACAAATAACGTTGATTTGCTATGGCAACAGGTATTAATGAGGCACCAAAAAGGAGTGAAAGTAAGATATTCATATATAAACCAATCGACACCTACATGTACACAGCTCTCCTCTGTGGATATGATAATGTGAGGAACAGTTTGATTTTTACCCTGACCTTCATTTTAATAAGCTGAGCACAGCCTAAAGGCTAAGTGCCATTTAGGGTCACTGTCTCCCCTCAAATAGGACTTCAATCCTTTGGTATGACTTTCTCTTTTTCTCAAACAAGGTTAATAATTAAATAGAACATAGCTGACCGAAAGTTGAGTTCATCCTTTCAAACACAGTTTCAACATTGAGGCAGGAGAATTTTGCTGTGAAAAGACAAGTGGCCCTGAGTTAAGCTATAATTTTGAAAAGATTACCCTCCTTCAGAAATAAGGCAACGACTTAGCAAGCAGGACCTTGCCCTTGGGTGGAAGATTGGCCTTTAAACACAGCCTTGTTTCTTCAGGCCTGGTTTCAACATCCAGGATATTTGTTCAGGCATCTCTGGTGCCCTCATGCTAGTGACAGGATCAGGTTGGAGAAGCTGAGAACAAACAAAGCTTGAAGTGTCCCACAGACCAGCTCTGTGGGGAGGTCAAATAGCAACAGTGAGCCTTTTGGAGAAGCCTCCATTGAAAGATGTGTCAATGACATTGTGGTGGCCCCAAAGACAGAAGACAAAGAAGAATTGAGTTCATGTGGGGCCAGAAGGCTCTGCTCACCACCTTTTCCTCTCAGAATAGAAGCGCTCATGAAGTCCCTACAACTGTTTACTTATACCTGAATTGAGAGTGAGAGCTGAGAAATCAAAAGCTCAGTTCTAGTTGCCCATGATATAAAATCTCCTCTCAGGGCAAAGCAAAAGGAAATATGATGAAATTGGAGCAAAGAGGTTTTGTATTAGGTAGGATAAGTACTCTCTTTGCTCTGTAATATATAAACTATTGAAATAGCAGTGGGAGAAGTGCTAGGATCTTCATCTTGGAGATCGAACAATGGTGTAGAGAAAAGATTCTTCTCTGTCCCACTTTGTTTTGACTCAATCCTGTGCTACTTCTGGCATCAATTGGGGTTTAAATCTTGTTTTTGCTTATCTAGCTCTTTATTTAAATTTGTTGTGTTTTGCTTTATATTTGCCATACCAGGGATTAAACTCAGTACTGGGGATTGAGCCCACTGAGTTACATCCCCAGTCCTTTATTTTATTTTATTTTTTTGTTTTGAGACAGGGTCTTACTATGTGGGCAAGGCTGGCCTCAAACTTTCGATCCTCCTGCCTCAGTCTCCTGAGTTGCTGGGATTACAGGCATGTGCTACCAGGCCCAGCCACTTATTTAGATTTTGAGCAATTTGAGGCAAGGACCACAACACTCATGCAGATATTAAATCCCATAGAGTCAGTGAATCAAAGTTGTCAACTAAGTGGAGTAATGGCATCAATGGTAACCTAATCTTCTTGCAAAAACTTGTCCCAGTAATATATGCATGTACAGCATTATAAAAATAGAACATCTGTTACTGATTACTCAAGGTGAGTTTTCATACACTTCTCTGGCATGTCTCCTGGCAGAGGAAGGAACAGAGAAAGATTGGGTCCTTTTTACTTAATAGCTTCTGGCAGAAGTTCTACCTGTTTTGAGAATAAGACCAGATTATCTGCTCATCCCAACAGCCTGTCCTCCATACTGAATTATTTTTTTTTAATTCTATAAGGATGACTTGTATCATTTTGATTGATCCTATTCTAGTTTGCAGTTTAAGATTTGGACTTAAGTCCCAATTCATCCCATCCTGCTACCAACAGGTAGGCTTCCACAGACTACCAACAGTCCTGGACAAAGTGATTTGTAATGTCACGCAAAGGCAAACTCTTAAAATCAAAGTTTTAAGAGAAAGGGAAAGGCAAAGGAGGTTCTATGAATTCAGAAAAGTGTTAGATTCTCAGAACAGAGATCGATATTCCAAACATGATGCACCTCCCTCCCCATTCTCAATACCTTAAGAAAGTTATGTTTTGACTATGGATTGGTATCTCCTCATAAACCCAGTTTCCCAAGGCATTTTTTTAAACATATGCTCCAGCCTTGTCTAATCCTCAGCAAAAATGTGGTTTTTCTATGAACAAAGCCCCACTGGGGATGTTATTATGATTAATATGAAGAAGTGGCAACCAGTTTGATTTCTACTCTCAAAATACTAATCAGCAAAGATCCTAAAGGGGAATGACTATTAGACTTTCCTCTTTGTACACTGATTAGTAAAATGCCTGAAGCATACAAGTGCTTTGTAAATGCCTATTGAATAAATGAGATAACAAATGATCTCATTGGAAGACCCCTAATGATAGAGATCATAGGGGAGGACTTGGTGCTGAATGAAGTGGGGTTTGGGCTGGGAACTGAAGGGTGGGTTCAGCTCTACACTTACCAGTATGGTAGCCGTGAGGCACACGCAGCTAACTAAATTTAATTAAAATGTAACAAAGTTTAAATTTTTAGTTTCTCAGTTATATTGATCATGTTTCAAAGAGCTACCAGAGTGGGCAGTGCAGAGAACACTTTTCATCACTGAAAACATCCTACTGGATGGCACTAGACTAGAGGGAAATGGAAATGGACAAAGGCACTGGGTGTGGGGAAGGTGCTGCTCCTGCTTTGTGGACCAGCTCCTTCTCACAGAGGGTAAGAATGAGAGAACCACGGAGGGCCCTATCCGCTTGGCGAAAGTAGAGAACAAGAGAATGGGTACCATCTTAGAAAGGGCACCCAGGAAAACATGTATAGTTGACATGGAAGAAACACATGGGAGCCAACTAGCTAAGAAACAAAAATTAAGAATGAGTTATTGAGAGACCAGACTAGGGTTAGAGAAGAGTGAATGAAAGGGGAAAATGAGATGTTCTAAGACAGGGGGAAAACATAGGTTGGATGCCTTGAGATGAGGGTGAGGAAGTGCTGTGCTTGACTGAAAACTCACTATTAACTAAAATGTGGAGGTGAGGAAGGGAGCTGGGATCCATGTCAACACTAAATGGTGTTCTGACTTTATTTTTGATTAATTTTGTAGCTTCAGACTGAGCTACTTCTCAAGTGAGATCTTTCTGGTCCTTCTACCCATTTCCTACCTATTTATTGTTCCCAGTTGTCTCAGGTAAAACCAGACTACAGTGAGGAAGTAGGGGAAGGGGAGATCCTGTTTTCTTAACCTGAACTTAAGGCTAGAACCTTTATTTCATGTTAGAAAACTAGCTGTTCTCTTGTTTATTTAGATCTGTTCAAAAGTATTCTAGTCCCAGAATGCACCTATTTATAATGATCTCATTATAAACAGTCATTGACTCCCTTAAAATTTACCTTTTTAGGCAAGTCACTAGAGCAAGGCAGAGCAAGTCTGTGTTAACAAGTACCTGACCATAACAAGGGAGGCGACAGTAATCCCCAGGATAACTTCTTCCAACAAGTTCATTAAAACTATGGACATGTGTTTTATAAATTCTAGATTACCAATGTGTTTCTTCCTCTTTATTCTTAGGTGACCTTGAACAGAAATTTGAACTGGAAATCAGTCCTCTTTGTAATCAACAGAAAGATTCAATCCCTAGTATACAGATTGGTGAGTTGAATTTCTTGTCACTTTGAAATGAGCAGTTTGGCGCCTCTGCCAGGAGTCACAAAGAAAAGATCTACATGTAGGGTTCTATAGACCAGCACTGAAGGTCTGAATGTCTGCATCCAAAAGACACTTTAATCATGACAGATCTACTAAATAATTTTCAATTATAAAAATAGGATGTTAACTTTGTTATAGACCCTTAACTCACTCAGTACTACAGTTACAGTATTAACTTTCTGGTTTAGAATAAAATCAAAATCAAATCAAATAGAAGTAACTAGAATCTATACTCTCTTTAGGGTTTGAAGGGTGGTGAATCAGCATAATGGAATTATGGGCCCATCCACTGTGGGTCCCTATTCCTCATCCCTAACCCTCACTCCAAAGGCCCAGGCCCCTAGAGCCCTGATCCTCTGTGGCCTGGTATCCCTGTTTACTGTACTCTGTACTTCAAAACTTATTTTCAGTCTCATTCTCTTAAAACCATACTCTCTTTTTTTAGTTTCCATTATGGTAAACTATTAAAGTGCAGTCAGTGCATACAAAATAATTATTACTTTATGTAATTGTATTATGCATAAGATCATGAATTAAATTAGATGGCAGAAATTTTAGGCACTTAAGTGAAAAAAATATTTTTGCTCCAGTAAGAATTTCTGTCACACCTTAAAATACCCCACTAATTCCATCTACATTTAAAGTAAACCTTTCTTCTCCTTGCAGTTCCCTTCCATTGAATCCAAACATGAAATTTCAACTCTTTTCCTTGTAATCTCTGGCCCTGATTTGTAGCAGTTTATGTTTTTTTTATCTGTTTCCACAGACCTCAGTTAGCTTAATGCAATCACAGGGCTGTGGATTCTGTAAAGCTCAAGGCTTAACACCGTGGCACTGGGAAGGAAGAGGGCATCTGAAAAGATCTGCTGAAAACGGAGAAAATCTGAGCAAATTAAAATGACCATCACTGTGAGTCAGATCTAATCCACAGTCCACAGAAGAGTCATGAAGTCATCCTCAGGAGATAGGAACTAAGTAAACACAGCTATTAAGATTTGAATGGAATATACAATTAATCAAATAGGCATGTTGGGATTACAAGATTAAGGATGATCCCTCTTTATCCAGATTGCCCTTAATTGTTTTATTGTTTTCACAATTAAACAGATTCCTCTCCCTGAAAATGGGAGAGAAATGATAAAAAAAAAAATAGAGCCCAGGACAAATGGCAGTCAAAATCGTTGGGGCCAGTGGAGCATTAGCAACAGAAATGTAGTCTGAGAGTTCCTGAACCCAGTTCTGTCCTAGCAGACACTTAAGCCATGGCAATTCTGCAAATTCCGTTCCTAAGCCTGATACTCACTATGTTAAACTCCAGTTTTAAAGAAATTTACCAAGCAACTGTTCTCTCTCTCTCTCTCTCTCTCTCTCTCTCTCTCTCTCTCTCTCTCTCACACACACACACACACACACACACACACACACACACACTTACTCCAAACAAAAACATTTACACTGTTAAGCACACAGCCTAGATTTGCAAGACAGCCTGATTTCAGAGACTCTGTCCTGTGGTTGTCATGAGAACACACTTACTTTGCCAGATCATATGTCCTGATTTTTAGCTCAGGAAAAGGTGGTTACCATAGATACCTCTTTTAAAAACAGGTAGGGTTGAGTGAATAAGGAAATCCCGTGGATGGTATACCAGAACACCTATGATAAAGAGAAAGATCGTGATTATGATGTGGTTCTCAGATCATAAATCTTTCTCTCTCTCTGTTCCACATCATCTTGCTCTCATTGGTTCTGGGTTGGAAAGTGTAAAAAGGGTAGATGAGTCTAACCTGGAAAAACAGAGATAAACAAATAGATAAAAGATTGGTTGGTGTTGTAGGCTCCAGCCCCCACCAAAACAACAATCTTCCAGCAAGTCCTAAATAATGCAGCTCTTTCCTCTGTCTAAAAATGTGCCCCCCCACACTCTTTTTTTTCCCTATCCCAATCCAAAATGAGAATTTCCTGACTGCAGGTCTCAGTTATGCTTAGAAAAGAATTTCTAGGTAAGTAATCTATATTGACCCAAATGGACCCCCACCGGGGCTTAGTAACCCTCCCCATGTATTCATTTCTCCCCTCTCTCCACCAAATTCTGCATTTTAAAAAGAAATATTAAATCAAATTAGTGAAATCTACAGAAAGGTGAAGGAGAAGAGGTTTTCCTTCAATCCATGTCCACTCCACCTCTCCCTTCCCCCCCTGCCTTCCCTCTGGCAGGATAATGCTGCCACAAAGTCCTTTCATCCCTGGAGAAGAGAGGCTGGTACCACACACTCATGGGTTGGCTTTCAAGTCCACAGTGCAGAAGTCTTCCCTTATTTTGAAAAACTGACTCAAGATGTCTATTCAGACTTTAAAATTGCTTTCCTATCTAGTGTAAGAAATATGTATTATTGGAGAAGTATAAATGCAAACATATAATTCCAGGAAAACTTCAGGGGAAAAAAATGAGTTCATTTTTTTAATGTTGGATTTGTAACCCGTTATACTTAAGTAAATTTGATACTCACACTTCAAACTTTAGAATAGCATCATTTTGAAAACTAGCTCTTTAGATATTGAATATTTAATTATTTTTGCAGTGAAAGACATTAGAAATTAAGGAGATTGTGAAGGAGAAAAAGAAAATAGCAAATAAAATTGGAAATCCTTATTTGCTGTCTCCCTATATAATCTTAGCAAAATGACAAACACAGACATAAAGCCACTGGCTTCACTTTCTTCCTGGGGTTCAGGTCATCTAAAATGCTTTCACAATATTTAAATCTCATTTCACATAAGATGAGATCATGCAGAAATACACAAAAATATTTTACATTGTTTCTTCCTTTTCCCATCTTTCTATCATCCTCAAAGGTCAAATCTCTGCTGTTTGGTCAACAAAAAGATGATCCAATCAAGCCTTGTACTTCACATGCCTTTAAACATACAGAGTTCGTTGTGGGAAACTTTTTATTATGCTGAAAAATATTTGCCTTTTCTCCCCACACTTACATTTCAAAAAAATACATCAAAACCTAAATAAGTCCAAGTTTGTGATGATTCCAAAAATTCCTACCTGGGCTGAAAGTTATCTTTGCTTAACAAATTATGTGTAATAGGGAAAACACAAAAGCCTCAATCATTAAGAGAACGGATATGCAATAAAGAAGTCTAATATCAAACAATCTTCTCTAGTAGTTGAAGCCATGCTCTTTTTGCAGACAAAAATCTGGATTGAAAGTGAATGAAGCCCGGCACAGTGACGCACGCCTGTAATCCCAGCAGCTCAGGAGGCTAAGCAATTAGCGAGGCCAATTTAGCGAGGCCCTAAGCAACTCAGGGAGACCTTGTCTCTAAATCTCTAAATATTTAAAGTGCTGGGGATGTGGCTCAGTGGTAAAGCCCCTCTGGGTTCAATCCCTGGTACGAAAAAAAAAAAAGAAAAAGAAAAAGAAAGAAAGAAAATGAAAACTTCATTACCCGAACTTAGTTGTTTAACATCAATGAAAACAAGACCAAACTATAACATGATAATCTTGAAAAAATCTTATGGTATAGGGTGAACATATGAATAATCCCATCAGTGCAGTAGCCCTTCCTGATGGCCTCAGGCCTTTCCTCCCTCCCAGCACTTGTCTTTCTCCCTCTGTAAGTAAGAACAGCCAATGTTTATTGAGTTTAGTGTCTACTTTGTGCTGTGAGCATTTAAGCACTCTCCACGTGTTGTCACTGAATTGAATTGTGGTAACTTTGGTTGGTACTCAGGTTCTTTTCACACCAGGAAACTGAAGCACAAAGAGATTAAGCCACAGCCCAAGGAAACGCATCTCCTGCTCCTATGCTGAGGGTGGTGACCATATCTCATTGCCTGGTGCTAGTCCCGGGCCGGGCGGCACCCGCGGTTCCCCGGGTCGTGCTTATGAAGGATGTGACGGGTTGGCCTTGCCTGTTGCAGGTTTCATGACCTACATCGTGGAGCCACTGTTCCGGGAGTGGGCGCGCTTCACAGAAAACAGCTCCCTGTCGGAGAACATGCTAAGCCACCTCGCACACAACAAGGCCCAGTGGAAGAGCTTGTTGTCCAAGCAGCACAGACGCAGGGGCAGCACAGACCACGCGGGCCCGGGGACTGAGAAGGAGGAGCAGACTGTGGCGGAGGGCGACACGCCCTAGTGCCGCCTGCCCTGGTCCTGCGCCGCTGAGGACGACCTGCAGCGCGCCTGGGAGCGCGATCCTGCGTCCCTAACCTGGGTGGCCTCGGGGCTCCCTTGATTGCCTCTTTGCTCCCACTGCCTGCCTCCCTCCTTTTTCCAAGTGTACAGAAGCCATTTTTCACCTAGCATTAGCTGCCGAAAAGAAGCAACTCCATTCAAGAAAGTGGGAGCGGATTCCAGGGGCAGTCGTCCCCCAAGGAGAAGACTGGGAGGAAGCCGTGCCTCTGCCACGTTCCCCACTGGCCCTGGGTCGCACTGTGACCAGCAGCTCCTGAGACCCGAGTATCTTAGGGTTTGCCATCTGCAGGACAAAAACACCAGCATATTTGGAACTCCAAGGATATTGGTCTTAAGTGCAAGAGCACAAATAAGAGCGTGAAAGAAAGTACCTTCTATTTTAATAATAATTATTATTATAAGAATAATAATAAATCTTTTTAACTTTTATATTTTATGCACTAGACAAGGGATCTAAAACTTTGGACTAAGATTACTCAGTGTACCCAAACTTGAACAGGGGTTCATTGTTTTGTTACTGACTTTATGCCACTTTGGGTCAGAAATTTGGCATCTTCTCAATTTAAGAAACCGCGTTTCCTATCTGATCTGGGGGAAGGTGCTGTACAGTTCATTCCTTTGCACCGTTAGCCAATCTGTCTTTTATGGATTCAGTGACCTGTTTATATTCATACATGTACATTTTCTGTAAATACCAAGCGCTACTGATTCCCATGCCAAAATACATGAGTATTATGGGATTGCTACCTGTATAAACAATGGCACTGTGAACAGAATATTGTTAGTTTTAATACATGAGAATGCATTTGTAAATATGATATAGAGTTTATTAATATACTATTGTTTGCAGATAAAGGCCTTAACTTTAAACATCTTTCATCTTCTGAAAACTGCCCAACTTAAACTGCCTGCCCATGTCCATCTTTATGCTTTCCAGCTAAGGTCACAAACCAAAACTGAATAAAGTCTTAGAGGAAACATTTTTGGAAACTTCACATGCATTCTGCTTGAGACCATAGTTTTAATCTATGGCACCAAGCATTGTTTCCTCAGACTAATGAGACCCTTCAGCAAGCCTGAAGCTACTTTTCAACTCAACAAGTTTCCACACTGTTTTAACCAACCAGCTGATAAGCTTGTGTTTATGTGACTCTTGTTATGGAATGTGGTGGTGCCGTCAGCCTCACAGGAGACATAGCAGGTCTCAAAAACCTTCTGTGACCCTGTCATCTAACCATCAGGGAATTCCTGGCTCCCTTACCACACATTTGTCTGTTATGGCTACAGAACCAAAGTACCTTTGGTCTATGGTTAGCAAGTATTTCATTGGTGTTAATAGTAACTGGATTTTTTCTTTTTCTTTAATGTCGTGTGAACAACTAACCAAGTGTTTAGCTGAAATTAATATTATTTGAGCAAAGAAATCATTTCAGTCTCATGACAAACTTTACCTTCCTGGCATGTCATTGTAGTTAATTATGGAGCGTAGCAAGGAGAGGCACGTTGGAATTTTGTCACTGTTTTCCTCTGTATAGACTTGACTACAAAAAGCCAATAGTTACAGCATTCTTTTCTACTCTTATAAACTCTGTGCGTTGAACTTTTTTCTTTAGAAGTCCTATCATAACTGAGGTTAGTTGAAAACTCTCAACATCCCTTTCATTTTTACCCTTGAACTGTGTGGTAGTGGGAGAATGATCATTTCTGCCATGATCACGCTGTTTCTCAAATTCAAAGAAGGACAGCAACTCTCATTTCCCAAGTGCAACTGGTTTTGTTTTTCCTTCTTTCTTTTAATATACAAATGAAATGTTAGAAGCTTGACCGGCCTGTAATAAGTCCCTATAGAAAGAAAGAGGCTTTCGGAGTTAAAGTTTGGGAGGAAATTTGAAAAGTTGGTTACATTTTCATTAAAGGAAGAGAAATTGTCAGATGGTGCTGAAGAAAGTGTGAAAATCTTATGAAATGGGTGAATGATAAGTTGCAATTACTGATATGGATAAGAAGGGAAGTTATGGAAACTTTTGTTTTCTGTAGTAACTACAAACTGACATGTGTTCCTCTCTTTAATATTTTGAAGCTCTCAGCTTGGTGAGGCTCCAAAGGAGAATATTCTGGATGGATTCCTGCTTCCAGGCCACACTTACTTTGGTTCAGTAATGCAGAGAGCATTTTCACATAGTCGATTTAATTTTAATGTGTTTCAGATCAAATCAAGGAAAGCAGTTATTGGGCACAAGAAAGTAGAGATAGGAAAGAAGGCATTGTTTTCTCTAATGGAACCTCTATCTTGAATTAGGGAAGCAGACTTTATTTAAATTTAAGTATTTCATTATTTAAATACATAAGATAATGAGTTTTCTTGGTAGTTCTCAGTATTTAGAGCAAAATTGTTTCTGTTACAATTGGTCCTAGAGAAAAGCTCACAGACAAAACTGCCAACATCCAATGGTGAAGCCTATGAGGTATCTACCAGTACCATAAAAATCTAAAGGTGAGACAGGATATATAAACTATATGCGTCTGTCTCTTTCATTGACTGTGTGGAGATTTCTTGAGTTCTGCATTTGTTGGGAAAGAAAGAAAGAAAAAAGGAAAGAAAGAAAGAGAGGGAGGGAGAAAGGAAAGAAAGAAGGAAGGAAGGAGAAAAGAAAAGAAAAGAACAGGAGTATAAAAACTCTTTTATTTCCTGCTCCTGGCTTTCTTGTGATACCTCAATAGGAGTCCCATGACTGGTTGAGACATGCTATTGGATCATCCATGGATTTTTATCTTTACAGCCTCATTCTCCTAGCCCATGGATCATCAATCGTTGACTTACCAAGTTTAATTCTGTCATTGCTTGAGAAGAAAAGATTCAAAGGGCTATTTTTAGTCAGTTAAAGGCAAAGTCACGATCAAAGTAAGAAAGAGTATACGTCACTGCCAGGCCTGAGAGTCAGAGCCTGCTTTTCCTCACTTAAGAGCAACAATGAATAGTGAGACCTGACTCACCAAACTCTGGCCTATCCATACCTCCCTGCTAGGCTAAGTAGAAACCAGCTCTGTGTCTCCCTGCTTATGGTTTCCCACAAAGAGCCTTGGCGTGCATCCTGTATCCCTGGTCTTCATATACTGCCTTCTACAAATTGCAGACTTGTTTTGTAATCTTTTCTCATATTGAATCAGATGTGCTTACTGATTTGGATTTGGTTATGAGCTTGTATCTCACTGTATTTCTCATGCTTTGTTCTTTTAAGCAAATCCTTAAAATCGTGTCATTTTGTGTACACATGTAAGGTTTGAAAAAATTGTGAGTTTTGCTCAAAATGCAGCCTCAATACCCATTGGCATGTCTAGATGAACAATTAAAAATAAAGATGATTTCATAAAGTATCACAATATTAAATATACTAATTCTCACTAGATAACATGTTATCAGACCATCAGTTGGAAATATTCAAGGAAAGAACACATATGTAGACATAGTCTATGTGACTCATTCCTCTGGGGAACTGATGTCAATGAAGACATCACTTGGCAGTTAGAGCCAAGTTAGGAAATGGGCCACCCTTCAACTCTACATTTCTCTGGAGTCCGGATATTTTTCTGATTCATGTTTCTCAAAGTCATACATGATTGGAAATAGATAGGAAAACATATAAGACTCAAAAAATTATTTTTGAAAAATACAGTCTCACATTTCAGAGTTAGAGGCCACCAAAAACACTAAAACAATTCAGGCAGGACCGCTGAGTATCCTAAATCTATCTTGAAATAGAAGACGGAAAGACAAACATCCTATATATTCTCTCATATTCATTTTATTGAGATTTGTATTCAGAATCCCACTGATTCCTGGATGCCTTCCCATGTCTGAATGCAAAGCCACCTTTTCATTCGTGGATGTTCTATACCATAACTTTGAAATCAAAAGAGAGATCCCAGTGGTATTGCAAGAAAAGGTCAGACATGACCTTCAAATACTAACGGGAAACAGCTGCTATGTCAAGTTGGCAGAATCAACTCGAAGGTAGATTTCAATTGAACAAATATTGAGGATCCACTATGTCTAGTTGTTGTGCTGGACATTGGGCTATAAAAAGAACATCAGGACTTTTTTCAAAAATTGGCATTACCAGGAAGTGCTTTTTAAAGAATTTGTGAAACTGCACAGGTTCAAATGTAGCCAGAGCTTCTTCCTAGCATTCAACATAACAGAAAGCAGATAAGCTTCCAAGACAAAAGCGGGTCCCAAATCTGGTTCTGTCACTAACTTATTCTGTGACTTGAGGGAACTTACCAAAGCCACTAAAAAATTATTTCCAGCTAATAATATCTTTTATGGAACTGTTGTGTCACTTAAAAGAGATTATATACAAAAAAACATCAAACACTCTCTGGTGCATGACAGACTTTCAATAGATAAAATTTCTTTTAAATTTCAAAAAAAAAATGACAATCACTCACACATGGGTGAGAATGGGGACAATTAATGGGGAGTGTAGTAAATAAGTGCTGGTGATTTCACATTAAGAAGTCACATTCATTTTTAGAGTTGTTGACAGATTGGTTAATTTCTGTCTTTATTTGCAAGGTTGGGTCAAAAGATGATTTCTTCAATTGGTTGTTCAAGGCAGGTTCTGCCCCAGCTACAGCCTGCTTTTCTATTTAGTCCTCTGGATAAAAGTGTAAAATTATAATAAAAAAATAGAAATCAGTCACCTCACTTGTTTCTCTGCCACCAAAACCTTCATTCTTGCTGGTCCTCTACATCAATCAGATCCTGAAGATTTGCTGGACTTTACAGGGCTGGTGTCTCCCAGGATGCACTCCATTCACTTCACTCACACATTTCCAAACATATTCTCAGTTACAGCTTATTGTCTGTCCTCCAGCTAAACACAAAGCAGAGCCACATCCTGTTGGAGATGGGAGATGACCATCTCCTACCTCCTTGGAAATGCAACAGACTGTCAAGTATTTGAGTAATGAACAAATAAGAAGCTTTTAGCTATAAAACAGTCTATGACAGGCTTTTTGTTTTTGATTAAGCTAGAAAGATTTTATGTTTCAGTTGATATGGTTTGAAAATGCATGCTTGCCTTGTCTTAGTTATCTAAGCAACAATATATTATTAATTTAATTGCCTGTACTGCTTCAAATTCTAGTATTGCAAGTGATGATTTAATCTCCAGTACTTTGTTTTCCCTTTTAGGGAAGCAATGGGGTAGAGTTTTTAAAAGTGTGGGCTTTGCGGTCACATGAGAATTTCAAATTCCTCATTATCACTTGCCATTAAACCCTAAGCATATAATTGACCCCATCTCCTCATGTATAAAATGATAGTAACACCTTCATCCTGGGGTACTGTGAGATCAAAATTAAACAGCATAAGTCAGCACAAGACAGCACAGTTTCTAGCAGAAAATGGGATTATTACAGTTTGGATCTGGAATGCCCCCCAAAGATCCATGTGTTAAAAAATGTGGTCCTCAGCTTGTCACCATTGGTAAGTGACAGAATCTTTAAGAGGTGGGGTCTAGTGGAATGAAGTTAGATCATTTGGGTTTGTGCCCTTGAACAGAATGTTGGACTCTAGCCCCTTCTTATTTCCTTCTTTCACCTCCTGGGTGCCATGAGGTGAGCTGCTTCCTTCGCCATGCACTCCTGCCATGATTCGCTGCCTCTCCACAGGCCCAAAAGCAATGAAGCCAACCAACTGAATGGTTGAAACCAGCATGGACTGAAACCTTCAAAACTGTAAGCCAAATAAATCTTTCCTCTACAAATCAATTTCCTCAGGTATTTTACCACAGTGACAGAAACCTAAAGTACTTAACAAATGTAATTTAAAGAAAAAAAATATCCTATACAGTGGGAGTTGGGATGTATCTTCCTGTATGATTGTATCAGTTTTATGCAAATAAAAACACAGAACCTATTAGCAAACATTGGGCATGATTATATTTATAGGTAGCCAAGTTGGTCAGAAAATAATCCTATGTTATAGACAAAATACTGTCAAAAATGATTAAAGAAAGAAGATAGTATTCCTAGGGTACTAAGAATGTTCATAAAAGAGCAGGGCAAATAAGGACTCTCTCTTCTGATTGTAAAGTAAATACTCCCACTCTGGTCATAAAAATCCGATTCTGGCAGGAGAGAAGGTTTACTAAAAGAAGCAAAATTTGATAAACTACCAAGCTTTCATGAATTCCACTCAAATCCTACAAATCCTATACATCAAAGTTTTCAGTAACTCTTCCCCTTGTAACTTCTTCACCAGAGCCTCTGTGGCCATAGACAGAAACAAAGGACTCCAGGGTAGTCTCTGCAAATTTTGATGGCTCAAAATTAGGCTGAGTTCGCCTGAACTAACATTTCCCAAATTGTAAAAAAAAAAAAAAAAAATGTATGTGACAAAAGATGTGTGTTAGCTGTTCCCAGTGGGAGCAGTCAGAATGACTTCATAGCCATAAACTTAGGACACAATGGATAAAACACGTAGGTGTCTCTCCTGCATGCTTCTCTGAGCTGTTCTGTGCTCTCCCTGATAAGATAGTACTGATGACAACATTTGCTTGGAACTGGTTTTGGTTTTATATCATGAAGACTTCCTTAACTGTCCCAACCCAAGTTGATTGTCCCATTTATCATCTTGCTGCCTTAATTCTTAGTGATGATGAGTTATTTTGGTTATAATGGTTATTTGTCTAAGTTTGTGGCTTAACTTTACCCATTACTAAGATGAAACAAGTTTCCAAACTTCTTGTACCTCAGCTTCTTCATCTGTAAAATGATTATTTATATATATAAACATACACATACACACACACGTGTGTGTGTATGTGTGTGTGTGTGTGTGTAAGATCTATTTCGTAGGACTTTTAATGATTAAAAGAGTTCCTACACATGTAGCACTCTAAACCGTGACTGGCACATAGAAAACACTCATTTTAGTAAATGTTGGGGAAAAGCCAACATCTTCTCCCACACAAACATGATTTGCAAGATCCTTGATGCAAGAATAACTATCCTTTCTTTCCCCTAACACTACACATTACATGTGTAACAGAGAAAATGCCAAAATTTTTTTTCTTAAATTAGGGAACTAATATTTGATAAATTGAAAAGAATATGAGAATAGTATGTTAACACTCAAATCCAAACAAATTGTAACAATAAATGCTCCAGAAATGGAATTTAGTTCTGTAATTGCCATCTGGTAGACTCTGAGTGTTTCCAGGAATATGGTTTAGGAAGACAATAGTTTTCTCCTTCCTGTTTATAAGTATACTCTTCTAAGTGGTAAGGGCAAGAACAACTCCCCTGACAGCCACAACATTCAAAGATCTCTAGGTTTTCCCATTCATTTGGAAAAGAAACCTACAGAGAAGCACCACTGAATCACCTCCTTTGGGAGACTTGTACAAGATGGTCATTGTGATACACAACCCAAGAAATGACAAATCCCAACAGTTGTGTTTTAAAAAAGACCATGGGAATAGCAGATGAGTCTTTTATTATATCCTTGTAAAAGCACTTTCAATTACACATAACCTACTCCCACTCTTCCCAATAAGCAATGATGTGTAAAAGGTGAAGGTTATCAGCAAAGTAAGCTTAATGGACCAAAATATAGTATTTGTTGCTTATTTCTTCCTAATTTCTATGGTTGTGTTTCAGTTCAAACTTCTCCTCCTCCTCCTCCTCCTCCTCCTCCTCCTCCTCCTCCTCCTCTTCTTCTTCTTCTTCTTCTTCTTCAGTTGTAGATGAACATAATACCTTTATTTATTTTTATGTGGTGCTGAGGATCAAACCTAGTGCCTCACACACACAAGTCTTGAGCTCTACCACTGAGCCAGCCCCTCAAACCTTTCTTTTCCTTTTTTTATCTTTATTTTTTAAATTTTTATGTGGTGCTGAGGATCAAACCCAGGGTCTCGCACATGCTAGACGAGCACTCTACCGCTGAGCCACAATTCCAGCCCAATCAAACTTTTCTTAACAGGAAAGTCAGACCTTACCTTTCTATGGACTTTCATTTTCTCAGAAACACCCAACTGGTTCCATTTGATGAAAAATAATTTATAAATGAAAACATAACACCTATGGTATTATATAATACTACAGATAAGAATTATATTCTATCATTACAAATTTTTAAGTATTAACCTTGCTGAGATGCGTATAACAAAGAGTTTTAATAGATCTTTCAATTCTGGGTTATATAATGCTTTGAAATATTCTTTAGATATCTCAATTGACTTTAGTTACTTAAAATGCATTTTAATTGTTCTATAAATAGCTTTTTGCATCTGAAACTTTATCTTAAACTTTAATGAGAAGGTTGAGATTTTTTTTTTACTCTAATCAACTTTATCCCATAGTTT